GCTTTTCCCGTGGTTATGTAACTACTCTGTGTTAATTCTCAGGTGTACAATTTCCTTTGCTATCTATGGCTAAGACCCTTTTACACATGTACATGATATCTTGAGCAATACACCGAGCTTTCAGTCAGAGTATGGTACCATACTCCGCCATCTTTTGGAAATTAGAGAGTACCGTTTCCAAATGAGGAAGCGCACATATTCCAGTGAGTTCTCTTCAATTCTATATCTATTAATTGTCTTGTCTTGTCATGGATCTGGAGCGTATGGTGGTGCTGGTGCTGTGTATATTTTAATATAATGTTTCTGCAAGGTTTGGTGCTGCTATACATGGAAAGGGCTGAGGCAGGTTTTAGCGAGAAAACAGTGGTCAACATAGCCAGAAGGAGGAGGCGTTTCGTTTATTCTTACGCTTCAGTCACTTCTAGAGAACTCCCCTGGTGATTTTCCTGATGACCTCCGAGAAGAAATTGTGAATGGCCTCATTCACATCTTCTCTTCTGTAAGGTCTGATTTTATTTGTTAGTCAGTCTCACTCAGATCTGTACCCTCCTGTACAAGCAATACTAAAAGTTGGTATACTAATTTATTTTAATACTTCCAGAGATGAGGGAAAGCTTTCACGCAAGCTTATTGAATGTGTAAATACGTTCTTGCTGAAGGATGGTCCTAATTTAGGCTCTTTATCATTGGAAATTCATAATGCGGTTGAACAATTTGTGTTCCGTTGCTGGTTAACAACCCATGATAAAAACCTCAAGGTTTTTTTCTTTTTCTTTTTGGTAGCCCTTTGTTAACCATGTGATTTTTTCCATAATACTGTTTCATGGTCTTACGTTTTTTTTTCGTCTTCTTGTTCTGGCTTGTAGGAGATACTTGCTTCTTATGGAAGACTACAGTTAAATTTGACAAGGGGTTCTAGTGAATCTAGTTCTCTGGTGGAACAACTTTTGGACGTGGTTACTCGTGAATTGGATCTTGGTAGTTCATCAACTTCTGCATCATGGTACATCCTTTTTGAGTCTTTTCTTCCGAGGGATGACTTCTTTAAATTCTACAAATCTCGTGAAGTTATAAGATTTCTAATTGAAAAAATTATTTAGGGGTGATACAACAAAGGATGAAAAGTTAGGGGCATTGAACAGCTATCAGAATAGCTTGGTTGAGCTGGCTGCACATGTGTTCTACCGGGTACCTGTTTTATGTTCAAATTACTTTGTTCTTTGAGTAGCTTTACATGGCCCACAACAGAGTTCCAACTCAAGCGACCATTTTTATTTATTTTCAGCAGTGTCTGGATTTCCTTTCATCTACCTTCACCCCCATGGCCCCATTTTAATTGATTCGAATTATGATTTCTGAAGCATTTTTGCTCTGCAGAAGTTTGATCTGTATACTTTGAGAATATATTTTCAACACAGTCAATTGAATCTCATCATAGACATGCATGTTGTCCGTTTGTGTGCATATAGTGAATGTGTTAGAGAAATAGTGCTGACATTTAGAACTTTGGCAGGCATGTGTCAATACATCTAGACCATCACTGTCAGAGAAACGAGCTCGTAGGCAACATATTGCGATGCGTATGGTGGATGCACTAACTGAAGGAAAATGGCTATGGTATGATTCTAATCAGAACATTACTAGTGGATATCCAATCTGCTGATGTCTTCTTGCAAAAGTTGTTTTCTAGATATATGTGTATCCATATCATAAGAATGCATTTGATGAGTGTACGCTGTTTGTTTGTTAATGACACATAACTTCTTTCCAATTCATAATGCTGGAGAATAAGTTTCACGGGCATAGCACATTCCCTTTCTAAGAAACATCTGTATTATTTCTGTCAGTCTAGATGCTGTCCTTGCACTAATTCTAATATCGCTGCTCCCTGTTTTCCCTAGAATTTTTATTAATATACAAAATTTTGGACTGAAGTACATAAGCTTTACCCAGGTGTGCTGCTTTTGGTTGTCTAGTTCGGAATTATTGTGCTCGCATCAATATGGATCTCCTTATTTACCTGGTTTATGAAGCCATCTGCACAAACTTTCAGAGGTAATTTGGGAACTTAAAACTTATTACATGGATCTTGTTTACTTAATCTTGTAAATGACAGACTTTGGGAGGATGCCAGTATGAGACGTTCTTATGATGGTCTACTATGGACTTTGAGGTATGTTTATGATGCTAGTTCAGGTGTTTACTATTCTGAATTTGCAGCAATTTTCTTCATATATTTGCTAATATAAGTGCTGTTGAGGTGTTTAAAACAAAAAATATGTAAATTTATATGAGGTACTTAGGGATCTTTGTTAATTCGCTGATCCTATATCTCAGTTAGTTTATTGTGAAACTTTTTTATTTGAAGGAGTTTGCAAGGGCTCTCCTCTGGTTTGTTACTTCCAGATACTACTATGGACATATCGAAGTCATCTGCTTCTCAAGTGAGGTTACTTTACATGCCTTTCTGCCTTTGTGTGTGTGAGTCTGTTTCGCATATGATAGGTTTATTGGACAAGTTTTGTTCACAGAAACATGCCTTGCTGAGATTTAGAGCTGATTTGGTGTTGTTACTAAAATAAAATAATACTGAATCCCTTGATCATATCGTGGAGAAGTTGAGGAATTATATTGTCTCTATGTTTGCGTCTTGGCAAATGGTTTTGGTTGTAAAATGAACTGAACATTAATAGCCCATCCACATATAGGTTTTTCTTATGATGTTAAGCTAAGCTAGACTCAACTTAATGTAGATAAATTATGTGACCATTTTCAATAAAAATCAGGTGGTTATTAGGCTTTTGGATACATTACCTGATTGAGTTCTGGAAAAATCTTTTTGACTTTTGGTTTTATGATTGCTGAAATGGTTTTCATGCCCTATTCATATTCAGCTTTGTATTGGAATTCCTTATTTCATTAATATGATATCTTATTATGAACCTAATTGCTTTGTAGTTAGCTTTTGGTTTCTAAACCGTATTATTTGCAGCTAGATCGTGGTTGGCAATCGATCTGGAGCTCTTTAATCCGTGGGCTAGCAAACATTCAGCAGCATGAGTGTAATTGTACGTTGCACTTATCTACTTGCATTCTTTCTTGATTCACACAGTAAACAATTTGTTTAAAAACTGTTGCTTCTTATGGAAGAAACTAGAGAAAGTATTAAAAAACCTGAACACTTGGTAGCAATAAGGTTCCACCTATGACGTTTGAACTTGTATATAGGTACCAGCCAAATACTTGAACTTCAGATTTTTAATCTTTTTAACATATCTTTCGAACAATGAAAAAGTTTTCTTTAGGGATTTTTGTTTGATCAAACGTTAGTGGCTTATTTGTTCGGAGTTCCTTTCTAGTCATTTCCCATCTAAGTGAGTTTCTTAGGTTAACTCTGTAATAATTTTAGGTAAAGAAATACTTTGATGGGGACCAAGGTCAAGGGTTTCTTGGTGACCCAATACTATTTAAGGGTGGTTGGAAGTTCGTTTAGCTAAACAGTGTTCGATTACTCGCTATATTAAGTTGATTAGTAGCCACAAATGCACGCACGTATGGCTGATGCTACACTATTTTAATGCAGGTTGATGCTGTCTTGGTACTCCTTGGATCAATTATTTCAAGTGTGAGTTTGTAATTAATTTTTTATAGCTGTTTTTTTAATTATATCCTCTTAATATTATTGTCTCTTCAATCAGAACCACATTAACGTTGGAATTCTGCCTCAAGAAGTGTGGGATCATCAATTATTCAGGACACATACCCTCTGAGTAAGCCTTTCATCCTCAAAACTTAATAAGCCATGTTGTTAAGCTATTCGTGAGGTGCACATAGGCTAGAGCCCCACTTTTTCTGGAAACAGAATCAAATAAGTTTGTGTATATCTTATTGTTGTTTCCTTCCACGAGATTATTTTTGTTTGACTATCTGGTTGGCTTTAATTAATAGATGCTGAATGGCTCTACTGTTTATCTAAAGAATTATGACTTTTACTCAGGCCGGCCTTGTACTTCATTGCATGTTACTTTTCACGTATGGGTTGCCAGGTAAACAAGGTTCTCAATGTAATTGTATGGTTTTGGTACATTCTATGTTGACTATTTCTCAACCTTTGAAGTCTTGAAGAGTTGTTGCATCTTCATGGTCTTTATCACTGATTGGATGAATTTGTGCAGGGAAACCTGCAAGATGATTTACATCTTCGACGAAATCTTCTTAGAGCAGTTTGTGCCCCTCTAAGCTGGAAGGTACTGTAGTTTTAATTTTTTCAGAAGTACAAAAGTATAATTGGCGCATGGATCTCATTAATAATCATATTTTTGGGCTGATGTTATGTGATACCTCTTAGTCTCTTACATTCCATGGAGGAAGTATTGTCTTGGATCTGACCAAACAAAATCGCCTGAATTGTTTTACTCCATTATGTAGATTATCTGGCAGTGAAATTTCACCCTTTCATTTTATTTTCTGCCAACTAGTTGTTAAGAGCTGCTGCATTCTGTTTCCACCTGATTTTTGTGAAACTGAAAATCATAAGATATAGTTTGAAGTCTCATCAGGTTCACTGAGTGAAGTAAGCCTTGTAGATTTATTATAAGTCTCGAATGATGTGTACCTCATTGTACCAAAACGATCATATTGGAAATCATACTTGTGGCTTTTACATTTTTAGGTTCGTTTGACTCTAAATGAGAGAATGGTTCAGCTTCTACCAGCAGCTGCTTTTTCCCTATGTGCTGGTTTCAAGACTTCACTTCCATTACCTAAGGAACATCTTCCAACACCATCTGAATGGGATGTCTGTGAACAGGTGAGTGATGTGGTGAATGTGCTGGTTATGTTTGTTGATTGAGGATTGATACATTTTCATCTTATGATCAAGACTGTTACTGGAATTTGTTTTTGTTTCTTTTGCAGATAGATGATGTTGATCTAGAAAGAAATTTTGGACTCTTTGAATGCTCTGTGGAGGCTCTAACAAGAGTTTGCTCAAATTCTAGCAAGGTGGAGGATCCTTAATTTCTTTTTCGCCTTTTCCTGACTCATTTCTCCGCTGACAGTTTTTTTTGTTTCCTTGTATTTCAGATCTCTGGTTGCCAAGTTCCTGACGTGATACAACTACCTCTGGTATTAAGGGATCCATTGCTTCATGACATGGATATCTATTTTCTTAGCATTACTCCGGAGGTCAAGGAGAAAGGACCATTGTCTGACATCTTTATGGGATTTGCTCTGTTGTGTCATTTTATGCATGGTTCTTACATCGCAAGGTTTGTCAACTTGTGAATGAGTAATATTGTTATTTTCTTATTAGACTTTCTCTATCGAAATTGTTCACTCCTTTAGAATGTGTATATAGTTTATAACAAGATTTTCATAGTTGTCTTGATAGACGGTGAGAAACCACTAGTAGATGGTCTTTGTTCTGTTTGTAGTGTAATCATGTTCTTTGCATGTAGCTGTCAGAGACAAAGTTGTGTTGTTTGTGAATTTTTTTTATTATTATTATTTTTCATTTTCAGAGGTCTAAGACAAAAGTGATTGATGGTTGTGAATATGGCTCACCCTCGATGAACTAGCTTATATTGTATCTCTTTGAGTGAACTTTTCTTTCAGCCACTGGATTTTCGTTTCATTTCTCAGGAAGGGTAAAGGAAGCAGTTCGTTCTTCTTAAAGGCATGCCAGTATTTGTTAGAAGGCCTGGATCATGCTGTTGAAGCAGTTTCAAAGAGCCTCAACGATCTTCAAAGGCTTGGTTCCCTAGGGTTTGGCTCAGATTTTAATGAGAAAGGTTCTGTAATAGTTTCGTTGAGGTCCCTTACTCAATCTCCTGTCTTCAGCAACGGAAGAGACCAAAATCTTCTTGGCGCTAGTTATGATGCTGTAATTCATTCCTTAGAGAACCTTTTGCGGTCTTTTGCTAAAGTCTATGGAGAATATACTGAGCACGCATGGAATACACATTCAGACACTGTACCTTCTAAATCGTTTGCACTTGATTCCCCAGAAGTTGGCAGGATTGTGGATATGGATTTAGATTTAGCTGAAGACACTAAAGAGAGGGATATTATAACTGTCGGTGGAAAAGCTGTACCTGGCCTGCCCGTTTCTACGGGGAACTGGAAGTTGGGCATGGTATCGCTTATCTCATGTTTTTCTCCAGTACTTCAATTTCTACATGGGATGTTCTATATAACTTATTGGAGAAGGAATCTGATCCTAAGGTATTCCAGCAATCTTTTTTATTATACCAATATCTCAAGCTTTTGTTGTGACCTTATACCAACAAATTGCTTACATGTGCAGGTGCTGGAAAATATACTGTATCATCTATGCAAGCTTTCATGCTTGACTTCTATGCCGAAGGTTGATGATTTGGTATGGAGTTTAAATTGTTGATTTGATTTGCTCTGAATAATTTGAGAAAGAAAATAGAGGGTTTTTCATCAACATCTTAACCAAATTTCTATGTTTATGGGTATTTGCTTCATTATTTTACTTTAAGGTTATTTTCTTGGATGGCATGCTTAGCACACCAGTAAAGATGAAGCGTAACTGTCTCAATATAGTCACTGCTCTGCATGTTTTACTTCATACTTTATCATCCTCGAGGATGGATTCTTCTGGAGTTGGAAAAAGTTGTGGTTTGTCTCTGAAAGAAGGAGAAAGTTTTCAGGTACTATCTCTCCTGTTTAAGCTCACTATTTGGTTCTTTCCCATGATCTGCTTTATTCATTGCTCAAGTAATGTGCAGGTCTTTGTCCAACTTGGCGCAGTGGTGAATAAAGTTTCTGAATTGGTCTCTTGGGATGGTTTGGGCGTGTCAAGCTGATCAACTGTATATGTGATCTTGTCTTACTTATCCTCAGACTGGTCAGGTGCGTACTTCTCATTTATCACTCTTTCTTCAGACTTGATGAGCTGGCATATGCAATATTGATCTCCTCCTTGTGATTTAGCTTCTCTTTGAACTGTTTTCATGCAGCGAAAATGTTCCTGCCTTAAGGTTTCATGACTTTTTTTTCTTGTCAAAGTACCATTGGGAGTTTGAAAAATACATTTCCTCTTACAGTTTGTTCAGATAAGACTATTTCTGTTGTTTTGGAGATGAAAAATTGAAATATTTTCTTGCACTCATTACTTGTAGCGAAAATGTTCAAGTAATGAAGAAAACTTACAGTGTGTTTATAATAAACAAGTCTTTTATCTTAGGACTAGAGTAAACAGGCAGTTTTCCTACCATTAGCGCTAGTAGTTTTCTTTTTGGAATTTCACATCAGCCGGTTACAGCTAAATATTCTACTTGATTCCTTGTGGAATTCTTACTTTATTTAGTCTCTTGTTGTACAGTGAATTGAGTTTGTGTTTTAATACAGACAATGATTGAGCGACTTTTGTTGATGCTAAATGACTCTGATTATCGAGTGAGGTTTGTCCTGGCAAGACAAATTGGGATTTTATTCCAGACGTGGGATGGCCATGAGGCATTATTCCAAGATATTTGGTAAGTTTGGTTATTCAAAATTATTATCTTGTGGCTTTTTTTCAGTAGGGTTTTCCTAGTATGACAAACTGTTATATACTCGTTTATACAGATCTTGTGGCTTACCAAAAAAAGAAAATAAGGAAAAGAGGCTGATCTTTGTCTTTGTTGTGGGATTTTCTAATAGGGTGTTGTCCTAGTAAGACAAACTGTTATATACTCATTTCTACAGATCTTGTGGTTTACCGAAAAAGATAAAAAAAAGAGAGTCTGTATTCTGTCTTTGTTGTGAGCATAGAGTATTATTTTGGTAAACACAAGGCATGTTCTAGTTAATTTAGTCATCTTTCTTGAAAACCTATTCAAAATTCTGATACATTGTTCTTTATTGATTGTGAGTCTTATGACGATCATCATTTTGTAAGATCAGATGCTTCACAGCGCTTGTTATTCTTTGAAAGCTTACCTTGCACTTGGTCCTTGTAGTACCACATTAGTATTTAATATTTTATTTTTATCGCTGTTTTCAGAATTCATTATCAGATTGATGTACATCATTAGTTGTAAACTTTTCCCATTTCCTTTTCCAGTTCCAGCTTTGGTATTACATTAGTAACCTCCTCAAAGGAGAAACTAGTTACCGCAAAGGATGTTTTGGCTGCTGGTCCTCAGCCTCGCCAAAAAATGGAGACTGTCATCATTACTCTTATGCACCTTGCTTATCACAGTGAGAACATAGAGTTGCAAGTAATATTTCCATTCATTTTGTTTGAGTTCCTAGGATCATTTTGAGTATACAATAAGCTAAGCTTGTGTTAACATCGTATTCCAAACTGGGAGAAACGCAGGCTGTTTTTATGATGTGCGCTGTTTCAGCTATAGATCCCTGTCAGAGGTATTTCTTGATAGTAATTGAAACTGTATTTTGTATTAGCTGAAACTTTCTTCTACTTATATTGCTTTCTTCCTACTAGGGAATTAATCATTGCCGCACTTGACAATCTATCAGCACAACTCCATTACCCATCTAGGTTCAAGGTGTTATTGCTGATTCTTGCTTTTTTTTTCTGTCTTCCACAACTGCATGATAAATGTTCTTCTTGTTTTTACATTTCTGAATATCAGCAGACGTACTTGATATTACATCTGCTGCCTGCTGACATCATCTACATCTCTTTTTAAACTGGTTTGTGCAGTATCTGGAAGAACTCTTGGGCCCGATCCTTTTTTTCTGGATTGCATGTGGTGTCAGTTTAGCTGGCCTTATTGAGGTATGCCGCAAGTTGATATTTTCTGTTTCATAGATCAAGCAATTCTTTTCTGTGATGGTTATATTACATTTTCACGATGTTATTCAGGTGAACTTTGTTTGTTGGAGTTTCATTTGTTTATATTTCAACTTCAAACTTGTATTACAGTAAAGTAGATTCAATATTTTTTTTTTGTTTCTCTTGCACATGGGTCTACAATATGAAGATAGTGCACAGTTTTGATTACAAAATTAAGTAATTTACCAGTGAAAGAATGAAATATCGACATGTGCTTTTGGATATCTAGCAAATATGTCCTAAGTGGCAGTTTGAAGAATGGAATGAGTACCTTTTAGCATTTTATATCATCTGGTGGTTGCTTTGTTGCAGACAAGCCAGCTGTTCATTCCAAACGCTGAACCGAAATATTTCATCCACTTTTGTTCCCACTGGCTGCTTCCAGCTCTTCTATTGCATGAAGATCATACTAACCTTGAATGGGTAGCTAAGGTAAGGGTGCTTCGTTACATCTTTTATGGACATAATTGAACGTTTTGGAAACTCCAATCTCAGTCTATGGAGATGCTTATAGGAATTTTTAATGAGATTTATAAAATGTACAAACTTTTGGTTGCTTTGTCTTCTTTTTTTTTGTATGGGCAATTAAGATGGTCAGCGATTTGAGCTTATCCGATCTCTATTTCACTGTCTGTCTACAATTTGCAGATGGCTGCCCAACCGGTGGTTGTTTTGGTCAAAGAAAATTTTGTGCCAATATTTTCGATATGTATGGGTTTGCACTGTAGTAAACGTCAGAATGTGATAAAGGTGCAATGGTGCTTCAGAATTCAATATTGTATGTTGGTGAGATCAGCGAGAGTGAGAGGGACAAGCTGATTAAACAGAATATGGTATGATACCTTGTAACATTTGACTCATGATTCCAGCAACCTGTCTTTGATGTTTGTGGTGGACATATCCATGCTAGTCTGATCCGCTAGTCCGAATTTACCAAACGTTGGACGTTTTCATTTCATTTTGTCGGAGATCATTATTTCAAAAATATAATATATATTTTTGATTATAACGTATTGAATATCTAATGGGCACCTTGTTTTGTTTTCAGGTGTCTATTGTTAGTTTTATTTTATCATGCGCTTCGTCTTCACCAGAACCTCCAGTTCCTGCTTTTTCTCGTGATACTATTTCACTTGCAGTTCAAACAGTTGTGGATGGTTTTCTGGAAACGTAAAAATTTCTTGCTCACTCAATGTAGACTTTTTGTTTTAGTTTTTCCTTTTATAAGGTCTTACTTGTTTTATGCAGCACTGATTATCCTAAGAATGCGGCCATCACTGACAGGATAAACATTTTTCGCCCGGATAGAGTGTTCATGGTAAAATTTTAATTTGCCGAAGTTTTCATGAGATCACACTGTTGTCAATTTGATACTTTAGTCACGATATTTTTGTTGTTGTTTCGCAGTTCATTACAGAAATGCACTATAGAATGTCAGCTGCATGCCATCATCGGCATACGCGTCATCATTTGGCCGCTCTTGAAGAGCTTACAATTCTTCTTGGTCATAGAGCGTCAGTTCCAAGTTCCTTAAAGTGAGTAGAATTCTTGATTTATCTATTTAATCTTATTTGTTTCTGCTAATAAACATGGGTTTCATCTGTAAATTAAAATTTCAGTGGCATTGAAGGGTTAATTTCTATTTTTCGAGCTTTTAAAACTACTTTTATATTTAATTGTGGTCTCTTTCAGTTACATATTCAATCTTGTTGGACAATTTATCGGCTATCCCTCACTACAAGACCAGTGTTGTAGTATAGCGTCCTGTTTACTGGATTTGTTCAAAAGCAATCCGGCCAAAGAAATTGTTAGTGTACTAGGTGACCAACTCCAGGTAAGTGTTACTTAATGTTATTATTTGGGTTCACTTTTGAGATACCAAGGGTTTTATTACTCTATAAAAAAATGGCTTACTTTTCTCTATCTGCTGGTTTTTTAGTTTTTGGTCTCAAAGCTGGTTACATGCTGCATTGATGCTGAAGCAGATATCAAAATTTCTGGTTCTAAGTCATCGCAACTCGTTAATTTGCTACACAAGCTAGTTGTTAGTTCAGATTCTTCTCTTGATGAAGATATCAGAGTAGGCGTCCTATGTTTAAAGTTTCCTTCCTTTTGTCATACCACTGCCAGGAATAATAGAGAACTATATATGTTCTGATTTGTTCATCTATTTCAGGATTTGGAACCACTCCCGGATTTAAAAATTTTCCAAGTCATTCGTGAATCACATATCAAGATATGTGAAGCATATTCTCCGAGGAATCATCTGTTGAAGGTTGAGCACTCTACATTTTTAATTTACATTTTTCTTGAAATTTTAGCACTATCCAACCTTTTGTTTTTTCCTGTTCCACTATCCAACAGTGTGCTCGAAGATCTTGTTATCTTCCACCAAGATTCCTTTCCAGGAGGTATCAATTCTATCTTCCTGAGTTAAGTCATCCTAAGATATGCATTAAGGTTATCCTTTGTGGCATGATTTGCGTAGGATATTAGCTGTAGAATTAAGATTACGTATATGGTTCCTATGATTTTACTTTGGAAGACTAGTAGCTGTTCTAATTACACAAAGCAACGACGGTCAAGGGAGTAAAAGTTTCTCACTTCTTCTAAATTCATTTTCTGGTTATTATTATTTCTTATGTGGGTTAGTCTGCTCGATATCTGAGCTACTTTGTTTCATTGTCTGTGGACTATCTAGTTTGTGCATATGGATGAAATGTTTGAGTTCTGTGTCTGTTTGACAAGTTAATTTAGAAGGCAGGGAGTGTTTGTCTTTCAATTTTATCAGTATGGCTTTTACCTTTATAGAAACAAAACTGAAATCATTATCCCAAAACATGGCTAACGAAGTTTTTTTCTAGAGCCTAGTAGCCTACCTACCCTTTAGCCCTCTACTCTTATCACATCGCTGCAATTTTATCAACGTATTATACCCTTTGCAGTCTCCAAGCACTGCATAACAAGCTCATAGCTTCTGAAGTTTCTCAAGAAGACCCAAATGGAGAAACTGCAGAAACATTTTGGCAGTCTGATGATGAAATTGTAAATGCTGTTTGGACTCTTGTCCGAGTGTCTGCCTCGGATGAAGCAGATAGTATGAGACTTTTGGCGTCTGATTTCCTTTCCAGGGTAACTGTCATTCTCTTGTGGTCAGTACCTCCTGCAATTTGAATATATGGTCTTATTTTCTCTTATTTTACTGTAGGTTGGTATTAGGGACCCCCACACTGTTGTTTTCCATCTTCCTGGGAAGTTAGTCTCCATGCCTGATCTTCAAGTTATTGGCCATAATACTGGATCAAAAGTCAGATCTTTGACTGAGAACGGCATATCCGATGAAACCTTATCACACTGCTAAATTTTTTGAAGAAGTATCTTTTGGATGACTCCGTAAAGATATTGATGTAACATCACAAACCCTTCGGGTCAGTTTTCTAACTTTCTTAACTTTATTCCCTGTTGAATGTCTGATCTATTGATAATTTAATAATCTACTATCATGCACATGAAAGTTATGAATCTTTCTGTCTTATGAGTCATTATATTTTAGTCAAAAGATGTGTAATCTCCTTCCCCAGTTGTCATGCATTTTAGTGTTGTACTTCATTTCAAAGATTTATTCTGTAATATCTTGTCTCCTGTTTGGAAAGGCTAATTGTTTTGCAAGTATTGCTGTAATATTTTATTTAAGCTATATAGATGTCCCTCTCCTTATTTTAGGGAATTCTTTCAACCGAAAGGGGCCAGCAAGCATTATCATCTTTTGATTCATGTGTGAGATCTTCAATTGAGGTGAGCTTTTTTTCTGCATTAGCTTTCTGGTCTTATGCTACTTTTCATGGGTTGATATTTCTGTGATAATTCGTATAATGGACAATTGTTCTCATGGGCAGGCATTGTTTTTATCAGTAGAATGCTGATGTCTAAGGGTATATAAGATACGGGTCTTTCAGAAAGTTGTGCAAATTGATTTCAAGAATCATATTGTGATATTTATGAATATATAAATAGGCAGTCACTATATTCAAATAAATGATGTATATTGGATTTCCCATTCTTGTTAGGGTATCCTAAGTTCAAAACTGCTCTGCCTGTTCAGATAATGTTTTTTTTTGGGTAGGTGCATGGTAGGGGCGTGAACCTTGACATTGTGGAAAAGATCTTATTGGATAGCCAAAAGCAGTTCAAAGGTAATTTAATTATTCCATGAACCTTAACATTGTGGCAAAGATCTTACTAAACAGAATCTCTGTCTAGAAAATCTCATGGTTCGAGTTACTAACCCCACATCATAGATTCTTTATAATTAATTTCTGTATTACGGCTATCATTTATTATTATTGACCATCTAATTCTTGATGCAACCTAAAACAAAAAATGGAGGATACTGATGAAGTCATCGAGGCATATGAAATCTTTTTGGCTTTTGGTTGCAATCAGTAAAATTTGTCTTGATTGATTTTCAGACTAGAAATGCCTGGAATTATTACAGATTTCAGTTAACGTAGATAAGTATCTCTATTACATTCTGCACATGACATGTCCATGTCTGTTTAAGCATATTTCAATCGTGTTTCATTCTTCCTCTTTTTTAAATTACTCAAGAATGGTTCATTTTGGCCCCCCAGCTGAGAACTTTTCACTGGAGACGCCTGAAGTGTGGTCCACAGATAATAAAACCTTTGATAGATGGATTTGCCAGCTTGTGTACTGTATGATCGCTTTATGTGAGGATGTCCCAATAAGGTATCTGTTTGGTTCCAGTTTACCAGAGTTATACATTTAAAGTATTCAAGTAAAATCTTGCACTGAGTGGATCATTGTTGCTTGCTTTGTTTGACAGGTTATGCCAGAACATAGCATTGCTGAAAGCTGAAATATCTGAGCTTCTATTCCCTAGTGTTATTGTTAGTCTTGCGGGACGAATAGGGACGGATATAAATTTACATGACTTGATTACGTCACAGGTATCTCTCGTATTTTTTGGATATACCAATAGTGCTTCTTTTTCCTACTTGCTTGCATTGTTTCTTCTCTGGATATCTGTGTTTGTTGAGTCAAATCCACTTCTCTTGTATTCCCTTTTTTTCGGTTCTTTCTTTAGTACAGATTTGCTTACTTTAATGTTGCCATCTTGACCTCATCTTGACTTTTGCGTACAACCGAAATAAAAACTATTATAGAACTATGGTGGTTGTTTTTGTTGATGAGGTAAGCATTATACTCGTCATTTGCTAATTCTAGCTGTATACTGTAAGGTAAATCCTCTAGCCTGGTGTCTGCGTCATGATTTTCCTTTAAGGTGTGTATATATGCAGAAACAGATAATTTAGTGGTCACTTTGGCTAAAGCTTGTGATCCCCATTGGCAGGTGAAAGAGCATATCTTCATTGATTCAAACAAGCTAACAAAATCGAAGCAAATTATGTTAAATACCCTGAATGAGCTGCGGATGTGTTATGTCCTCGAAAGATCGATTTTTTCTGGGCAAACAAAGAGAGAAAAGGTTAGGGTATTGATTTCAGCACTGACCTGTTTGCTGTTATGTTTTTAAGTAGTTGAGAAAAATTGTTATGCTGCATATCAATAACAGAGAAAGTTATGCTATTCGTGGGAGTGTATAAGGACATTCTCCTATTCTATTTTCTTTACAGTGAAATCTGTATCATATGGGAGATGACCAAAACTAACGTGTGGAATGCTCTTGCAGAATTCAAGATCTTGTTCCACAGCTGCTAAGATTAGAGATGTGGAAACTGCACCAAATGGAATGGCAGCGTCCAAAACTACTAATTGGGAGAAGGTGCATATTAGCTTCAATTACCATATGCATTGTTAGGACGATGAGCATTTCTGATCCATGCAATATTTCATGTGTCTGGTGTTACCATAAATCTTCTTCTCAAAGTGTGTTTGGCTTCCTGCTAAAATTGCAACTATGTTTGGTAGGGTTTGCAAATATGTTTTCTAGGTGTGATAGGTGATAGGTGTCACACCTTTAGTTTGTTGATTACTAGATGCCTTGTTATATTTTATGTTTACGTCATATCTGAAGAATTGAGTAGTTTCAAATGATCAACTATGAGGTTTAGTAACTTAATTTTATAGTAAAACCATGCAAAACGAATTTATCGCTGTCAGTTTTGTGCTACTTCTATGATTAAAGCCATTTATTGTTGATGCTTTAATTCATTTTGTTGTTCAGGTATTTTTGTATCATTTCATTTGGCGCTAGTTCTCTATTCAGTTACACCTCTTGTTTCTTTTAATATCTTCATAATACAGAATGACTTTTGTTGATCAGGTTTATTGGCTTTCCATTGATTATCTTGTTGTTGCCAGATCAGCAGTAGTGAGTTACCCCTTTCCGTTTAAATCAATAACCAATTTAATAGAGGCTCTATAGTTATTTGCAGTATATAACTCTTCTCGCTTTCCAAGGTTTGTGGTGCATATTTGACCGCCTCCATGTATGTGGAGTATTGGTGTGAGGAGAAATTTGGCAATCTAAGCCTTGGGGATCCTGATTTTTCTTATCATGATAAGGTACTAACAAGGAATGCATGTTATCCGTTCCTCTATGGTTACCATCTTTTAACCAGATAACTCATTATGCTTATTGATTAATGAGTAGTAACTTTATCGTCATCTATGAAACTTTCACTGGGTGCACTTTTACAAAATTGCAAACTGTGGTCTCCATATAAAAAAGGGATTGGTAATAAGTGTTTATTTGGTTTCATGCAACAGTGAAAGTGGTTTTGTTTGTGCCAATTTCTAATCATTCCTTTTCTTTGTGGTTAACAGTTACCGGATCATGTTGAGATACTTGTGTCTGCAATAACAAGAATAAACGAGCCTGACAGCTTATATGGGGTTATACATTCAAATAAGGTTCGTTCTGATACTAAAATTCTGTCCTACAGAGTACATATTGGATATCTCATCCACACACTTGCGACTCTTGCCTATTGGAAATGGTTACTAGTCTGTATTTTCCTGAACGTGGTAACACTAACCCTTTTGTTACCTACTCTAGGAATGTTTTGAGACATCTCCCATTTCATTTGATTGCCAAAATATGTTTTTGGTACTGAACAGTAAAAGATGAAGTAGCTAAATCATATTGCAGTATTTTTTTAATCTTTTACTGGTTTCTTATATGTGAATAATACTTTCTGTTTCTGTTACATGGATGCAATCTGAAAGTTGTCTGCTCAAATAATCACATTCGAGCATGAGGGAAACTGGACTAGGGCACTCGAGTATTACGACTTGCAAGCACGTTCACAGAAACTGGTGGTGCCTGGTAGCCTTTCTGAAAATCTAGAGGTGGAACAATTTCAGCCAACAACTAGTACATGGAATTCTGTTTTTGGTGAAGGAGAGGTCCAGAGACAACCGTTCAAAGGACTCATTAGGTCGTTGCAGCAGACAGGCTGTATGCATGTCCTGGATTTGTATTGCCGAGGCTTAACTTCCCGAGAAGGATGCTTTCAGTATGATCCAGAGTTCATCGAATTGCAGGTATGCATCCTGATATCTCATTTTTTCCAATACATGGAAGTCTCATGTCTAAATAAGGTTGTTGGTTAACACATAAATATTCCATGGGATAAAGAAAAGATATGATGACTCAGATCTTGAAGGAGTAGCTTAGAAACAGTATTTACCAGATAGTAGTTTTTTTCGTTGCAACATTGGCCCAAATTCTGCTTTAAACAAATAACTAATTGAACAAGCTCAGCTGTGGTACCTAAGTTGTGTTACTTAGGTGATAATTCAGCTGCAAATCGACTTCTTGCTTGCAGTATGAGGCTGCATGGCGTGCAGGAAAATGGGATTTTTCTTTACTTTATCCGCAAACTCATTGCCAACCTCTGCAACATGCAAAGAACAATAATTATCATGAAAGTTTGCACTGGTAACACATTTCTTCTCTTTTTTACCAATGATGATATTCTTAGCCATTAGATATCTTTCCCTGTCTGTATCTCTGGATTGCACCAAATATGACATCTTATCAACACTGAATTTGCCGCTGGTCTTAAGAATTTTATTTAAAAGGAATGATATGTTACAGAGGAATTTTAGAATAGAGTATTGAAGTCTCCACAATTTCCTGGTATCTGGCTTTGTTTCTTGGGTCATGTCTTAGTATCAATGGTCAGTTGTGATGAAGTCCTATTTAGCTTTGAAAAGTCATCAATATTATGCATGAGAGTCACTAGCTCCCACCTTAGGCGTGTATTTCTCGATGTTTTAACATGTTTATTTCTCAGTTGTTTGAGAGCATTGCAAGAAGGGGATTACGATGGGTTTTATGGAAAACTGAAGGATGCTAAGAAGGTAATGCATGATTTCAGTTTATCACCTTAGGATTGGAAGGTTGCAGGCTTCTATGTGGTAAGAATATTTTCTTTCTCTCCTTTTCAGGAGCTTGTGTTGTCCATTTCCCGTGCAAGCGAAGAAAGCACTGAATTTATATACTCAACAGTAGTGAAACTTCAGGTATGGAATTATAAATTGACATTAAAGTACAACACCTTTTTCCATCATAATTGTCATTTGGTGGCCAAATTAAAATTCTACTCCTTATTTGTTCATGTCTCTAATGTGATAATGGTCTTACTCTTGTCACGAACCCCCTTTAAAAGATTAGCACACTCTGGGAGTGCCATACTTAAGGTCATCTTGATCTTAACTAGCCAATTACTCTGCAAGAGCTGTCAAGTTTAACTTATCCAGGTGTCGCAAGTTCCAAAACTTAACTATGTGGAGATGTTCACCTTTTTAAAAAAGACTTATCCATCTCAATATTTCCTCACAAAACTATATCCCATAGACTAAAGATTTTAATGTGTGAACTTTCAAGCTGGGGAATTTATGAATGCAAGCTGCATGTTCATTAAGATCTAAGGAAATGTGCTGATGCTAAAGATTCCATGTCTCTTTGGAAAAACAATGGTTTTGACTTTTCCCACTTTTTGATTTTTGATGTTTTATCATGCCTAGATTCTTCATCATCTTGGACTAGTTTGGGATCTTCGCTGGACATCTTCGCATCAAAGTGTGCATGGCTATCTAGTCAAACAGATGGCATGCGTAGACCCCATGACTCCAACAATGGATCAGGTATATTCCCTGTAACTTTGTTTTCAAGTGGGCTTTCACTTGCTTCTAGTGAATGATTGAAAGTTTCAAGAAGTTATGTTATTAATATAATAAGTCATAAGTTGGCAAAATACCAAGGCTATTCAGGATCTTTCATTTAGAATTAGATATTAGTCTTGGGAGTGCACATATATGCTCAAACTACCTAGAAGCTAAGTGAGATAATCTTGTTTTCTGAGGCCAAGTTTAATTATGAAATACAGTTGTCTTGGCTGAATAAGGATTGGAACTCTATTATTACGCAAACTCAGTTGCACATGAATTTGTTGGAGCCATTTATCGCGTTTAGGCGAGTTCTTCTCCAAATCTTGGGATGTGAGGAATGTACCATGCACCATCTTTTGCAGTCTGCTTCATTACTTCGCAAGGTATATTTAAAGTGAAAAGCTACAGTGTCACTTGTAGTAAAATGCAGAGGACCAAAACATTATCTTGTTGCTTTCAGGGAACAAGGTTTTCTCATGCAGCTGCGTCTCTGCATGAGTTCAAGTTTCTCTGTGCAAGAAGTGATGGACAACAACCCGTTCCAGACTGGCTTGGAAAGGTAAATATTTATGACTCATCTTGCATCTTTTTTGGAATTTGAATAGCCTGCTTTTTTCTTCCTTAATTGTACATATTTATACACAGACGTTTTCCTCATTCACATTTATGAAGGTGAGACCAAAGTTACAACTAAAATTCTGATCACTCCTTCACACACGCGATTACTCCTTTACTCACGCCTCCTTCTGTCAACAAATAGTTGTGACCTAGGACATAAAATAGTTATGATTGAACAAAGGCATACAGTACTTGTTTTTGATATCTAGTAGATACTTTGCCTCTTAGTTCAGAACATGGCAATATATCTGATCCGCAACTAGAGATATGCTTTCCAGTAACTTTTTTGTGCTTTTTCAGCTTGAAGAGGCGAAGCTATTACATGCCCAAGGGCGGCATGAAGTTTCCATTAGTCTTGCAAACTATATTTTACATAATTATCAATTAAAAGAAGAGGCTTCAGATATATATCGTGTGATTGGAAAGTGGCTAGCAGAAACCAGATCTAGCAAGTAAATAAATTGTTACTTTTTATTGGTTGAAAGCAGTTTCTATCTATGCTCGTAATGAACTTCTAAGAATCTCAACTCGTCTTTTTTTTTTCTTCTTTTTGTTTGCTTTCTCTTGAAAATAGCTCTAGAACAATTTTAGAGAAGTATCTCAGGCCTGCAGTTTCGCTTGCTGAAGAACAGAGTTCCAAGATCTGCAAAAGATTGGTAGATAGACAGAGCCAAGCTTGGTTTCATCTGGCTCATTATGCAGATGCTCTATTTAAGAGTTATGAGGAAAGACTCTACTCCAGTGAATGGCAAGCTGCAATGCGGCTACGAAAACACAAGGTCTCCTCCACCTTGGTTGCTCAAATTTACATTTTTAACATTTTCTTTCTGTACTTTTTTTTTGTGGGTAGGATATGCTTGTTTTCCTGCTAAATGAGCACCAATCAGTGATTAATCCTTTCTTTTGCTGTATCAGTAATAGTCTTAAATATCTTCAACTCCTAAGTTTGTTCTTCTGTTGTGGGTGAAACTGGATGCAACTAACTAGTGTGCTTAATTTTTCAGACGAAAGAGTTGGAGGTGCTTATTAAACGGTTTAAGAGTTCAAAGAAGGCACGTATTAGTCTACTTCCGTTTGTTTGATCTCTAAACCGATCTCTTATCAAAGCACAATGTGATGGCCGGTTTAGGCATCTCTCTCATTTTATTTCATATTTGATCTTTTACTGTACTAGGCGGAGCAATCTGACTATTCACTGAAGATCCAAGATCTGCAGAAGCAACTAACAATGGATAAAGAAGAAGCAGAAAAACTGCAGGTTTTTTTTTTATTCTGCCTTGATAATCTGGCTTCTGTGGGAAAGTAGTCATGGGTTTCTAGACTGGTGATATTCACTGATACGTGATCTCTCTCTTTCTCCTCAATTACGTAGGTTGACAGGGATAACTTTCTGAAACTTGCATTGGAGGGGTATAAACGTTGTCTGGAAATTGGTGACAAGTATGATGTTCGAGTGGTACGTTAATCTATATTTCTGTGAGATTTGCGTATAATGTAAGATGTGAATTAGTGTCTGGAATTGATCCTTTATGACAGGTGATGAAGTGTTAGGTTGGCTCTAGAGTCAAATATAGAATTCCTTAAGAACATGGTTTTAATTGTTAGGTTACCACATCTAATGAATCTGCATATATACGTATCTGCATATATTATATTCCTTCGCATCTATCAAGGAGCAACTAAGGATATATTTAGTGGTCTTAAATGGTCCAACGTTTCTTCTCTTTTCCTGTTTTGGGTTGCGGTCTCTAGCTGCTTGTCAATATTTCTCAATCGTGTTTGTGTTGTATACTTATTGGTCATATCAATCTTTCTTTGGTTTTTGGGTATGTGATGAAGTATATTTGATAATGGCACCACAGAGATTAGATTTAGTTCCATGTGAATGGTGGACCTGTACATATAGGTGTGTAAGGTTTGTGACTAGCGCATACCTATATATGCCAGAATCATGGTAGAGTGACCTTTATATTCATATAAGTCATACACTTTTTATTTGGGATTCATGTCCAATTTTGTCTTACATTATCTCAGAAAGTTATTCAGCGTTTTCTCTGGCCTTTTAGAAACATGTTTGAGAGTTTAGCAGAAACGTGGTGTATTTCATTATATTGTTAGATTACGGGAACACTGTTTGGAACTAATTTTTCTTTCTACAGGTATTTCGGCAAGTATCCATGTGGTTCAATCTTGCCTCCCAGAAAAATGTTATTGATAACATGTTGAGCACCATTAAAGAGGTACTTGACTAATGTTATCAGATTTTATCTGCTATCGAGAAGGAATTCTTTGATTTTCTCTCCATTTTTCTTGTTTAGTTTAAGCAATCTTCATCTCCCTAAACGTTCTTGCAGGTTCAGTCTTACAAATTTGTACCCCTTGTTTATCAAATTGCTTCAAGGTTGGGCAGTTCCAAAGATGAATCAGGATCTAACAGCTTTCAGGTGGAATGCAATTTTACATGGCTATCGTAGAAAACTTAAGACTATGATGCTAATCTCTACGATTTATTACTTGCAGTCTGCACTGGTTTCGCTTATCAGAAAAATGGCCATTGATCATCCATACCATACAATCTTGCAGGTTCTGAAGTGTTATCCATCTCTTGTACTCTTAATATTTCTTCTATTCTGTTTGGTTTACTGGCATAGGGCTTGCTAGAAGTGCACAAGGTAAAATCCTTGAGTGTCCTATGACATCCCGAATCTGTTGAAAGAATGAGAAAACAGTAAAGTCTGTTGTGCTGTGTAGCATGCCATCGAAATTACATAATTAGCAAGTGACTTTGTCTATCTTATTCGAAGTCAAGTTTCTAAATACTGGATATATGTCTCGTATTTTTCTTTTGCTTTTGGTTCTAGCTTCTGGCTTTGGCAAACGGTGATCGTATCAAGGATAACCAACGCAGTAGAAATTCTTTCGTGGTTGATATGGATAAAAAGCTTGCAGCAGAGCATCTCCTGCAGGATATATCACATTATCATGGGCCTATGATTAGACAAGTAAACCTTTTTTTCACCTAATCTTATGCATCATAGACCATTTTTCCTGGTTACTTATCAGCAAATCCTGATTGTTTTTTCAGATGAAACAACTGGTAGATATCTACATCAAGCTTGCAGAGCTTGAAACAAGGAGAGAGGTCTGATAATTGAGTTTAGAGGAAGTGTTTTGTTATGCTGTTTGCTGAACATTTTTTGAAACATTTGTGGAACTCTTTCCTCTGCAGGATACCAATAGAAGGGTAGCGCTACCAAGAGAAATTCGTAGTGTGAAACAATTAGAACTTGTAAGCACGCCATTGTTTAATTTATTCATATGCATTCTTATCTAGCTTAATCATAATTATAAGCTTGTAGGACCCCATGTTGCTAATCAAGATAGAAAATTTCTTGGAAACTAAGAAACTTCCGTGGGTCATCTTGATAGGCACTCCTATACATACAACGGAGAATTTAATGGCAGCTGTTCAGATTCTTTAGCAAATTTTGTCCAGTGTTTTCATTTGTCTGCTCCCATGGTTCCTGTTTTGAGTCTGTTGCAACTCCTAACAAGATTGATACTCGGCTGAATGAATTTGTGCGATACAGTCTTTCGTTGTTTATTTAATTGGAAGAGTTAGTTAGTCAGATGAGCTTGCAAACTTGTTTTCCATTTTCCTTCTAGTTCGAATATTCAATTTCCCGCTTTCTCTGTGCTTCTGAGGTATGTGTCAAAAAATGAATTTCTTTTTGAGTGTAGGTACCTGTAGTGACTGCTACAATTCCTGTTGATCGTAGCTGCCAATACAATGAAGGGTCATTCCCGTTTTTCAGAGGTTTATCAGATTCTGTTACGTAAGTTCCTGCTCAGTCAATCCTTTGACAATCAATATAACAATACTTTTTTGCATATCTAGTTTAAAAGAGTACTTTATTTATCATGTCTATTGGATGATATGCAGAGTGATGAACGGTATAAATGCTCCAAAAGTAGTTGAATGCTTTGGTTCTGATGGCCAAAAATATAAGCAACTTGCAAAATCTGGCAATGATGACCTCAGACAAGATGCTGTAAGAGTTTCAGAAGTTTTACTTGCAATGTCTATAATATGATACAACGTGTGTGGCACTCCTCACTTGCAATGTCTGTAATATGATACATGGCACTGCTCCCTGTACTGGCAGCAAATTGAAAGTATGCTGACTTAGCCAAGATTACATATAAAATGGTCTAGTTATGCAAAGCGTGTACCACTTTGTTTCAGGTTATGGAACAATTTTTTGGACTCGTCAATACCTTTCTACACAATAACCGAGACACTTGGAAGAGAAGATTAGCGGTGCGCACATACAAGGTACGTCTCTGTATCAGTCTACTAGAGGTTTTCTATTTTAGAGAAAATTTGATCCATTCAGTTAGTTGAATTCTCTTTATAATGCATATATGTATATACATATTCTCAGGTTATTCCTTTTACTCCAAGCGCTGGTGTTCTTGAGTGGGTTGATGGCACAATTCCACTTGGAGATTATCTTATAGGAAGGTTGGTTTAGTAGACTAGTATTTACAATAACATGGTACAACAATCTCTCTTCCAAATCGTGCCAGTTGAAACTAACTGTTTGCATATCAAATCACAGCTCAAGGAGTGAGGGCGCTCATGGTCGTTATGGCATTGGAAACTGGAAATATCCCAAATGCCGAGAACATATGTCGAGTGTAAGCTCATTTCCTTTCACAGATCTTCTTAGTTGGCCATCACTGACATCTGTTAATTCGCTCAATTGATATGCGGTGCTTGATTGGTGGCTTGTAGGCGAAGGACAAGCGCAATGCCTTCATGGATGTCTGTACAAACTTCAGGTTTCGTTTTTTGTGGAACGTTAATTTAACTTACTCCGTAAGTAGGTTGGTGGCTGACAAATCCATCCCCTTTCGCAGGCCTGTCATGCATTACTTTTTCCTTGAAAAGTTCCTGCAGCCCGCTGACTGGTTTGTGAAGAGGCTTGCTTATACACGTAGTGTTGCAGCTAGTTCAATGGCAAGTATATCCAGTTTTGCTGATATTTATACTCTCTTCCAGTTTATGATAGATGGGAGTTTCAATTTATGTATAGTTTAGAATATAAAACGGAAAAAATCATTTGTACCCGACTAAATGGCGTAAAATCTTAGTGAAATACATTTAGGAAGCTCTTAAATCTTAGTTGATTTGAAATTTACTTAAATGCTGGTAAATTTGTTAGCAAAAGAGAGCTGCCACCACCCTTTTGATCCTATTCACCTCTTTTTTTCTTATTCTTTTTTTTTGTTTATTGACATCAAGTGGGACATGGTTCTATTCTCAGTCGGGGCATCTGGAATAGATATGTTCTTTAGTTTTCCCTCTGATTCATCTCCTTTTGAAAATGTGGCATTTGATTTGCTATCAGGTTGGGTACATCGTTGGTCTTGGTGATCGTCATGCCATGAATATTTTAATCGATCAAGCTACAGCAGAAGTTGTCCACATAGATCTTGGAGTTGCTTTTGAACAAGGATTAATGCTCAAGACTCCTGAAAGGGTGTGTTCTCTTCGATCTCCTCTCTTTACATATTTAATTGGTCTTCCTGTGAGTATATATAATCTTTGCACGATTCTCATTTGTTCATTTATGTTCTGATCTGACAGGTTCCGTTCAGACTGACAAGAGACATAATTGATGGAATGGGTATCACAGGAGTGGAAGGCGTTTTCAGGAGATGTTGCGAAGAAACCCTGTCTGTGATGCGAACAAATAAAGAGGCGCTGCTAACTATTGTCGAAGTAACCAGATGAAAGTTTCACTTTGAATGTTTTTTAAAATACAAAAGCTTTTTTTGAAACTTAATCAGGATCGCTTGTTTTGCAGGTTTTTATACATGATCCTCTGTACAAATGGGCCTTGTCCCCCTTAAAGGCTTTGCAAAGACAGAAGGTACCTCGTACCCTTATAGTTTAAACTGTAAATGTACAATGTAATGACCTTTGCAAAAAAGGTTATAAAGTGTGGACTTACAGATTTTTGCATGTATAGAAGGCCAGAACGCAGATTTTCCTGTTGTTTAAATAGATGCTTCTGATGCTCTTTCTTTGGAATTATTTCTTCACGCAAATCAGTTTGTCTTCCATTTCAATGTCTTGATCCAGACAAGATTCCAATTCAATATTAGGATAGTTTATCCTGTTGAATACGTTTCGTTTCTCACACAAAGTTCTTGATCCAGGAAACTGAAGATTATGATGGCATGAACTTGGAAGGGTTACAAGAGGAATTCGAGGGAAACAAGGATGCTACACGTGCCTTGATGCGTGTCAAGCAGAAACTTGATGGATACGAGGGTGGTGAGATGAGAAGTATTCATGGCCAGGTAAAGTTTTTGACTTATTAATCAAAGGTTATAACAGCAAACGCTAACTTGTCTTTGGTTCACAATTTACTGAATCGTATTTGCTCGACACTTAATGTTTTGTAGGCGCAGCAACTAATACAAGATGCAATTGACACAGATCGTTTGTCCCATATGTTCCCTGGCTGGGGAGCGTGGATGTAACCGACCTTCTATATGCTCCAATTTTTTGTCTGTGAATAGAGAAATCTTTATGTAAAGTTGATAATACTCGGCTGCCAAATTTTGTCTAGCTTAGGAGGGGAGGGAGCAATCTAAAAACGGCTTTTGCGTGGTACAGAACGAATATGTGAAGCAACAAGCTCAAGCGTAAATATATTACTTCTTTTGGGCATTTTGCATTTTGGCTCATGAAGTAAAAGAATTTCACTAGACCCGTATTTTATTATCTTTCAACAAGAAAAAGTTAATAGAAGCTATGTTTAAACAAGCTTCGAGCTTTACATTACAAAGGTTTAAGTTTACACACATACATAAAAGAATCAATTTATAGCTCGTTGGTTGGAAGTGAACCCATTAGAATAGTGGTCTCTTTGTCTTGTTTTGTCTTACCAAATAAACTTGAGAGGAATCGTAGAGGCAAGACAGACGTAGAATCTGATTTCTTCTCTGATACTTGCAGCTCTCCAGGGCTCTTTTTCGGCTTTAGTTGTGCTCCGCAATGGCAGCTTGAGAGTCTTGCTAAGCATCTCTTGTGGAAAACCGAACCGCACGACCGGCATTTGTTAACCTCATCTTTCTCCTAATCATTGCAAACAATATATGTTGGATTAAGCAACATCTGAGTGTAGCGCAATAGAGATTATGAACATGAAAAGAACAGAAAATCCAATTCCATCAAGGCTATGAATCGGTGATCAAACACCCAGTACTCAGAACAGGGGATGTGTTTTATATTCATTGCAAGTATAAAGTAAATGCTCACCTGGAATGGAAATATTAAAGAGGATGTGTCGTCACAAGCTTGTCGAGCATTACAGGGAACCCCCACATCACAACAAACAAGGCACTGTTCCGTAATATGCTCCAGGATTTTCCTCCTAACGGTCTCAACGATTGCAGGAAGTGCTGCCATTCAAGGGTAATGTCTTTAAATCTCTTGAATAAAGGTTGAAAATGCAAGGAAATAGATAAATTGTAAACAGAAACAAGCAGCAGCGTGGAATTGACATGTAAATCAATTGCTAAAGATATATGGAATCTATATCTAACTTCTTTATCTTTGAAGAAAATTCCGTCACCAGTAAAGAAGATATGTCAGCATGTGCAAGTATGAGGAAAAGTATGTATGTGTCAGTCAGCATGAGCGCAGACATGCATGAACTTTAAATCTTGGTTTAAGAAAATAAATTCACCTGCAAATGGCCCTTTAGAAAGATCAATTAGATCTCTCAAAGCAAAAAAATCAGTGCTCTCAAGAAGGTATCTCCGAGAACTGAGTCCTTTGTTGAGTGTCTTGCGGAATGGGCAGCGTACATATGGAAGCATAATGGTTATTCTTTTCCGGATGCTCATAACACGGTTGAGTGCAGGGACTTTCGAGGACAGAAACGGGTTGACCGCACTGACACAAAGCATAGGCTGCAAAACAAGATTTGTCAGACATCAACTATATCTCACAGATAAGTAAATGTAGAATGCAAACACTGGTGGTCAAAAGAAGCTAAAAAGGGGACAAAGGCAGTTAATATGACTTCACGGCTATACAATGAAAGAACTGGAGCTTCTTGCTACAGAATCATACATCTATATTTTCAAGCTGTTAAGTGAAATTTAAACAAAACAAAAAACAGAATCATATTTAACAATTTAAACTACATCATGGCTCCAGCCCTGACTTTTTACAGAATGTGGAAATATGGCAGGATAAATGAATATGCTTGAGCAGATAATGTAAGCATATACATGTATCAACTATCAACTCTATATGTGTAATACATGCTTATATTAAGCCCAAGGAAAGGTACTACAAAGTCAAATGTTCTACCTCTGCACACAGTACCCAGAAAATGACAATAAGTTACACCAAATATTGCTAGACCTATATTTACCTGCTCGTGTATGGAGTCCAGATATGATTTTGCCAATTGAGAAACTGGATAACGATTAAAATCCCAATGATGTAACACTCTCGCTGGCAGAACTGCCATGTCATTTGCATGGCAGGAAGAACAAAACAATTGACCAGTATATTCACAAAGCCGAGGCTTACCCCATCCAAGAGCTTTCACAAAGTCCCGCACAAGAGTGGCTCCATCATCAAAGTATCTATGGCATCCAGCGCAAATGTAATGCTGAGCTTCTAGCAACTGCTTTACTGATTTTTGAGGTCGAATATCAACAATGAACGAGATGGTATTTCCATACGAAGAACTGCTTGCAGCAGCAGTGATGCCAGCAGAGTCTGTTGGAGATGCTATAGAAAACCCAGAAGAATTAGCATATGCATCTTGAGGGGATAAAAAACGAAGTACCGCATTTGGAAGTGTGGGAAAAAACCGGGATTGGAGAACTGAATTTAAACAATCTTGAATAAGGACAGTCCTTTCAGCAACGGCATTGGGCGATGTTCCAAATATTTTCCTGGATTCTCTCTCTACAGAGGCCCATGGTGTAGGAAGCGTCCAGCCTTGATCAGCAAATAAAGATGTCAAACGACGGTAGAGACTATAAAAATCACGATATCTTCTTTCAATTTCCCACTTGTCTTTCCCACTCCAAACCCTTATGACATACACTGTGTATTCCTTCACCCCAACCAATCTTTCACTCAGCGAGACATCACCTTTCTTTTGCTTTACCCCGACAACTTCAACCCTATCAATCCTAAATCGCTGGGAAGCTGTTGGAGATGAATCATCTAGACCAGACGTTGTAGCAGTTTGCCCCCCATCCCTGTTAGGCAGAGAGAGCTGTAGTTGGAACATCTTGTCATTCTTAGAAAATCTTACGCCAGATGATTCACCAGAGTCTAGCAGTATTTCTTCCATATCATGAACAAAATCATCATAGAAGTCGTTTAGCTCTGTGTTCTCCTTCTGCAAGATGAGTAATCCAAAACCATAAAACTTCATTCAAAAATCAAAAGGAGATAAAGTAGAATCCATTAAGTTTACAGATTGCAGGAACCCGTCCTTCTTAATGAATAATTGACTAATAATGGTGATAGTAACACAACAGTAATAGAACCGACATCCAGTTAAAGCCTCAGATTTTCACAGTTTAAATGTGAGAAAAGCATAATAAATTGAAATGCACTGTTTGCCCAGAGACAGAGCATGGAAATCTAACAGACTTGAACATAACCCAAGGAAAATACAAGCAGAGTTGACAGGCAGAGATAAAATTAACGTTAATAATGTTTCATATATTAAGCAGTTGACCTTAGGTTGTGTGTAAGCGACTTGTAAGGCATTTGTTACAGGATGAGAATCTCTAGATGATGGCATATCAGACTTCTGAGATGCCAACAACGGTTCTGAGGTGCACTCCCCAAATGGTTCTGTCTGTTTTCCATTCTCAGATGATTCATGAAGTAGACCAGAAGAAACATCGCCATCTAGGTCGAAGACCCCATCTGAAGGATCTTCAATACCTAACTCAGTTGGTATAATATCTAGGATGTCGTCAGCGCTACAAGATTGAATGTAATTCATGGCTACAGGTCTATCTTCAGTTTGACTGTTGCTAAGACAACTGTCACGGAGAGATTCATCTGTTACCAGTGATTGACGAAACACTAAGGTTTTAACTTCAGCGCTCAGGTCTCCAAAATCTCTGGCAGTTATGCTGTCTCTTGCTACGTTACCTTGCTCCCTTTGAGTCAAGACAGTTAAATCTCTAGATCTAATATCTTCAATATTTGCACGGACGTCACCTACATCTGGAGCATATCTAGTGCTCACAGTTACATTTGTATGCTCTTCCCCCATTCCTGCTTGAGCTATATCTGGAAGCTTTTGTTCAGCTACAGAAAATAATTCTGTGGATGTCCCTTCACTTTCAGTACACCCTTTATCACGCTTCTCAAACCCACTGAAGTCAAATTGAGTGTCAACAAGTTCTGTGGCTTCAAGTTCAAACTCATCCCAATCATTTGTACCAAAGGCAGTGGAGGAATTGATAAGAAATGGATTATCATTCTCATCTTTTGGCTCCTTTTTAAACTGAAAATTCCGTGGAACATATTTACGAGAATGATCACCTGAATCACTAAGTGAGTCATCACCATCAGATTGTTCATCATCTATCGAACTTCCACCTTCTCTATCTATACCACTCGTATGGTATTGTGAATTTGATCTACACAAAATATCCTCATCTTCCATTTCGTCCAACAGATTCACGGAATCTTTTTCAATTGTAGCTTCACCACCAACCAAATCACCACACAAACCTTCACCATAACCAGTTTCTTGATTCATATCAGTGTTACCATTCCCGGTGATTAATCCGGGTGCACTACTACTTCTACCATTACAAGACCCACCCCCATGAGAAAATCGGATTCCTCCATTACCTAATCGTGTATTATCCAAAGAAGAGAGCCTTATTAGACTTGGTCCCAAGCTAAAATTCTCAAATTCAGATTCCAACGAATCCTGAAACGGTCCAGTAGAGCTACACATACTCGGCGTTCCCAAAGCCGAATTCGCACTACAATACCGCTCAAACTCTGATTCACCACAAGACGAGTAATGTAACGATGAACCTGGTGAACCATCCTGACCACTTCCCTTCTGCAGTAATTGATCAGAACAATCTAGAGAATCAACTCCCGATGATTCCTCTTCTCCATTAATCATTTGAAACCAAATCAAATCAAATCAAAATCGATCGTTGGATAACGAACGAAGAAGGATTCTCACACCAGATTGGTGCAGATCCAAGCAAGCCAAAATCCCCAATCGTTGAAATTGAAAATTGAAAATTGAAAACTGAAATTGATCGACCCAAGTACTTGAGAAAGAAGAAGCAACTTCGGGAACTGAGATTTAGGTGCACGATAAAATCTGGACGATGCGTAGATTAGCTTCGTCTCTATGCTTGGAGCTTCTTCGTCTCCTTCGAATTGAATTATCACGGAACCAAACAAGACAAGGCATAGGAATCATGTAAGCAGGATTGACACAAGACAGTTTCTGAATTGTTCAACTATTTCTTTAATTAAGTTTAGAGGGAAATATGTAAATATATTACTTTTTGTGGAAGATAATGTAAATTACAATTTAATTATTAAGCCCAGACATATTCTCTTTAATTACGAATTCAGTCCTCATACTTCGTATCTATACCTACTAAACTCCATTAATTATTGAATATTACAAAGTAGTCCTTACGATTGAATACACTCATACAGAGGAAGCAGAGAGAAAGATGACTTTATTTTGTTTTCTTACTTTGAAGCAAAAATGGCTTCTAAATCTTTGTAAAGTCCTTTAGGTCTGGATTTGTAATCCGAAGATGATTCCTTAGAAGAGCTTCCACTTGTCTTTGTTCCCCAAATACTACTGCTCCAACCGCTTTTGCTACACGAAGGATCACTAGGAACTTTACTATTGCTCCTGTCTCTTGTGAAGCTAGACTTTGCCATTTCTCTAATCTGTTTCAACCATGGCTTGTCCAAGCTACCTGAGCTTCGGCTTCCGGATGAATTTCTGTACCTGAATTCTGGAGTTGTGCCTCCATTGCTGCTACTTCTTCCTTCTAGTTGAGCCGGGGGGATCTTGTTCTTGATCATTTTCTGAGGAAGTATTAACGCGGCAAGTCCAATGATAAACATCTTGAGACCACTCAAGAATGATCTGTTGATTTGGTCTAACCGCTTTGTCTGTTTGTACAATGAGTACCATTCATTGCACATTTGTGTAATGAACCCAATCAAGAACAATGTCACCATGAATATCCCGAGTTTCTTTCCGCTCGCCTCGGGAAAGTCTTTCGCCAAGAGCATTAGACATGAGGCGAATACACCGACTTGACATGCTATAGAAATGATCTCTACAAGCTGTACTTTTTTCTTGATGAATGGCTTCTTCAGAAGAAGGAAAAACAGCTGAAAGGAAGTGATGCTCAACAAGACCACTATCGGAGTTTTCGCAGACTGATTGTCTAAGTAAGCACCAGCAATAATCCCCAAACACACCCTCTTCACAGTTTCAAGAAATGTGTAGTATATTCTGAGGATTCCAAACAGTTTCTGTATGCAAGGAGCTTCAGCGTCTTCGTTTTCATCATCTGATGCGATGATTCGATCATCTCGTTGCTTGAGTGGATTGCTTCCTGAAATCTGTGTGAGCATGTACTTTGGTGGACCCCTTAAATCTTCGAAAACTGGACCTAACCTAGTTAGATAAACAGAGTTCTCTGTTTTCCATGTCCATTGGCCTCTTTTACCAGGACCAAGGGTCACTCGGATGAGTTCTTGGTACCAGTGGAAAGTTTGGCCTTCTTGATGAATCTCTTTATACTGTAATAACTTCCCAAACGTTATCCCGACCGATAGGAAGAGAAACAATGCCAGAAGCAGAATAGCTACCATGCAAAGCACAAGGATGCCAACAATGACACTGGCTTCTGCAGCTCCTTGATGTTTAAAATAGCCTGAAAAAGAGAGAATTTAGTGTATGTGTTAACAAAGATTTTCTAAATTTAACGATATTTTCAAGGCCAATACCTTGTATAAGGCTCCTTGCAGCTTTGCAGATTGAGGGTAAGGCGAGAATGAGAAGAAATAGCTCGAATCTTGGGAAGACAAAAGCACCAAAACTCCTCTTCTTTTCAGTGTGTGATTTCTTGAACTTCAGTATCAGAGAGAGGACTATATGTAGTAGTACCAAACTTCCTCCAATTATAGCTATCCAAAACATTATCCTATTGAAATCTCTCCACCTACAAGAAAGCGAAAAACTTGAATATTTATGGCGCGGCTTCTTCTTAATTAGATTAAATGTAAGCAACAAATGTTGAAATGAAATCTTCACAAAATTCTAGTGACTTACACTGTTGAATGTGGTAGGCCAAGAACATGTTCTGCTTCTGGCTTGAGATTTGGGGTCTGTAAACACTACTCATACAGTATTAAAACATGAGGAAAAGAATACAACAGACAAGGAAGAAAAAACGTTTCTTTTTGACCTCAAAGAATAATCTGTACTCCATCGCGGTGAGTGGCAATCCGAATACTGACTCAGCGTTGGTGGATGACTGCAGATTGATCTTGTTGTTGTGAGTTTTAGAAATGAAGGAATGTGGACCAATGTAAGGACTTGTGGCCACCATGATCTGTTCCTTGTTCTTAGTTTCCCATGGGAGAGGAAAATAAGGGATTATCCACTGAATCCCTCTCACAAGTTCGTAGTAATCAACAGGCAATGTCACCGGTAGCCATCTAGTGAGTGCAAAAAACTGAATGTGACAGGCAGTTCTCTGCATCAGACCCACAAAGCACACAATACCATTGATTAATTATGTAACTTGCAGGAAAAACAAAGGCAATATATATATATGTAGCTTTTATACAAGAGCAAAAACTCATACAAAGAGGTTCCTCGTAGGGTCTGATATCAGATAAGGAGATGGTCTTGGAAATGCACCAAGAGAATAAAGGCTTGTGGTTGAAAGAGTGAGGAGTCCCGCAACGAAAGATGTCACCAAGAAAATGTAAGTTGTTACCCAAGAAATCACAGAAGATATCATAGGCACAGAATCTGCAATTAAGTACAACATCTGAAACACATTAGCAGAAGCAGAAAAACAGAATTACACTTGATAACACATATAATGTGGTTGATAAACTTACAATGTTTTACTTTTAGGATATTGGATGCAAGATTTTTGTTTCCCGCGACATCCTGAGTAACATTTTCAGGAATATTAACAGAAATTGTACTGGTGTTGGCTTTTACATATACAATGTATATGCTTCCACTAAGTTCCTCAAAGCTGGTAATTTGTGGAAACCAAAAGAAGCAAAAAAGTCTTATGTAAATCACTTAGCATCAAAACTGCAATTTTTATGAGAAAAAATGAAATCAAGAAGTTAGAAGACACTAACCTATCAAGATATCCCCCTGAGATTGATACAAATGAGGAGTTAAACCCAAACACTGGCTTCATGAATTTTATCCAGACAGGGATGGTGTGCTTTCTTGTTCTCATACCAGATGTTGTGTTCAGTACAACATGAGGTCTCTCGGTATCTAAGATCACACGGATACATGATTCATTCAAGGAGAGAAGCAAAACAAGAATCTAGAAAGACAAATGTGTAACTTTTTAATCACCATAGAGAAAAGTCAGTGGTGCAGTTGGAGATGCAGGTGTCCCATGTCTGCTTCTTATTGAATTCGAGTCAAGTGTCACCGTGACTATAGCCCGCCGTGATGTATTTGTGACCTGAGAACAAAAGATTTTGGATATTACATTAAAGGATTAAACGAAATAGAACGATATCATCAAAATAACCTTGAGAGAAAGCAGCAGAAGCACAAACCATAAACGCGAAACGGCGATTCCCGTTGGTATTTCCATCAATAGGAAGCAAATCACCTTGGTTTGTGTTTAGTCGTCTAAGAATTTCAGCTGAAGAATTCAGTACTGGTTCAGAGAAATACAAGTAAACATTCAGCTTGTTGTTATTATTGGTTGCCTGCACCGTCCTAGTTTGGTTGTTTAGCTTAAGTAACTTCTCTGGTACATGAGTTCGTAGGTTGACAAAAACGTTTCTTCTATCTAGATGCCAAGAAAGTTCAAAATCAGTATCCCATAAAGCTCTTGGCCTTATAAAAAGGGTAAAGACACTCACCAAAATGGACAAAGAAACGCGAACCCAAAGCTCTTTTAAAATTGTTACCAGCTCTATCAGAACAAACATTCTTATTCATCACCAACACAATCCTTCCATATTGAGCATCAGGAGATAATCCCACAAGCAGAGAATATCTGAGATATTGGTCAAGAACAGTTACTGAAGACGGTATAACTTGGCCAGCACCGTAGACAAGAAGCTGTTACATCATTTGAAACATTGTCAAGAGTATAAAACCAGAAGGTAAAAGCTCAAAAGATTGTGATGAATGTAAATAATTTTACGTACTCACGTCGCAGGAATTCACAGATGAACAGCTGAATCCTCCTCCACCAACACATGGCTCAGTAAAAGTAATATTAACAGACAAATTTTGTGCACTTGTAAATGGCATTGATGCAGTCACAAAGGCTGTAGGAGAAACTGTATCTGCATACACAATTTTACACGAAAGACAACTTTGATCTATGCTAGACAAGAAAATCCAGGAAGAGACTCAAAGAGGTGTAAGAATAGTTTTCTTACCAACAGTCCAATTATAATGATTGCAGCCAAATCCATGCATCCTATTTGCGCAGACCTCAAGTGTATGATCTCCATCTAGCAACTTCGAGTAGGAAACTTTTCTTTGATGGCAATCCAAACTAATACGGTCATCTAGCTGCACAGAACACAATCTTTTTTCATCAACATGTGTGACTTGTTTATCAATAAGTACAACTCCAAGGAAAATTCTTCAAATAATGCAAAGCGCAACAATAAAGTAAAAACAACCTTGCAACGGAATTTGCAGCTTGAACAAGTTCTGTTTCCATCCTCAAAAGCTTGAAAGGAAAATTTGGCTGAGGTAAATCTAGATGTAGCAGGAGGTGCTTTCAAGAACTTCACAGAGAGCTCTGAACCATAACAGTAATGAAACCTGAAACATAAAGTGGAAGAGACAACCCAGAAAAGCAAAAGAAGTAGACCCATTTGCTCCAACAAAATGCAGCTGAAATCTTTGAAACTCCTTATGATACAATCATTAATACAGAGAATAAATTTATAAGCAAATCACAGCGATGGGATACACTGGGATTATTCTGGACAAAGTAGAAGAAGACAGTGTAGAGATAATGTGTTGGTGAAGAGGAAAAAGAGAGAGGCAGAGGATTAAAACAAGATGGGTACTAGCTTCTGTGGTCTATGATGGCTGTGGAAGAGAGATAACGGATAGTATATGCATGAGAGCGATGGGGAGATATAGTCATTGAAAGATAAAAAGACAGAGACTAATCCCAGAAACAGACAAACTCTGCAAGAATTTATTATTATTCCAGGACTGTCTATTATATACTTTTATATATGTTTGCCAAAACTTCTAAAAATACATTGAGAGAAGGAACATCTAATTTAATCTTCTCGTAATATTTTTGCCATGTACACGGAAACTCTTTTTTCTGTAGCTAAGCTAAAAGTGCAACAAGAAGTCAACACAACACACATGACTAACAAGAGACAAATCTTTAGATGATTTAGAGGTTATTTAGTGACATATATCAATGCCAGAATTTTTGTTTTGTGCTGCTAAATGGTACTAAAAGAAACCAACAAGAAGCATTCAAGTTTCTTCCTTTTACTTAACATTCATTACACATGGGACCATTGTTTTCAGATCAATGATGAGAAAGCAATGAAAGATGGAGAAATCCTGGGATCTTAAAAATTTATTACAAAACATAGAGACCCATCTGTTCTCAATCTGTAATATCATGTTTAATAATAACCTCTCACATCTCCGAGTCTTAAGAATAATGGTAGACATAGAATTCTCATTCTGACTTTTTTTCCTCCGTGCCAATCTTCTCCACAACCAAATCTCTGTATATATCTTCGAACGAAGTTCTTGAAGATATATCCATCATGATTTACGAGAATCATTCTCATTCAAAAATTCTTCTCAAGAAGACAGACTCCATGATGCATATTTCTCCAAAGACATCATTAGTGGCGGAGGTAATGAAGAAAATAAGAGTGTCATATGACATGATATGTAATATTAACCTTTGGTTAAAAAATAAATTTGACCCCTGTCAAACAGAAGTGTGGTTTATGCTTATATTGAACCCTATATAATTCTGCAACCCAATAACCTTCATGTAGTTACTTCAAATAACACATAAAACTATGAAAATAACTATAACAACTTAGCCACAATCAAGATTACTAAAAGACTAAAACAGCACAGAAGATTTTGAACAATGACGCTTTAACCTATTTCTGTAGCGTGTGAAACATATCAACATGCGTGTGAAAAGGAAAAACACCACAACTTTTGATAAAATAATGTGAAAAAAATATCAGGGACAAATATCATCATGTTATCTTTGTTATAAACGGTCAAAACATTGAAAAGGAAAAATGAACAAAGAAATCAACAAAAGTTGAAAATATAATTCTTTACTATATATTGCATATGGTTTCTTTCTCTTTTAAGAAGGTCAACTTTATTTTTAAGAAAAAATATTAAACACTAAGTACGTTACGACTATGAAAAATGTATTTTCTCTTATTTATTTTTTAATTTAAGAAATATTTCGAAAATAAATATCGTATACAGACAGAATTTTCAGAAAAAAATAGAATTTTAAAACAGCACAAGAATATAACCGTGAAATGATGTCTTTTTAAAAATATAATTTCGGTAAATTATTAATCCTAAAATATAAAAATTTAAGTTTATATTTTTATCTGTCAGTTAAATGATACTCTTTTTACTTTCGATTTTATGCTTTTTATGTGAAAAGAGTATTTATCTAAAACTTTTAATGATACAAAAAAAACTAATAGATACATAAATATTTGTTAAGCTTCAAATGAATAAAAGCTTATCTAAAAGTAGTTAATATTAATTAAAAAAATATGATTAATTTGGTGTTTTATGGTCTAGAGTGTATCTAAAATTTTAAGTAGTTTATATTTTTTTTAAAGTACAATAAGTTTGGTATTTTTTTAATAGTTTCATCAATATATAAATTATTATTTATATTAATTATAGAATAAAAATATAATCAAAGTAAATCTTAATTCAGAGAAAGTCAAAGAACAGTGCACAAGTGGTCTACTTTGACCAACAAATAGAGTTTCTGAATTGAACATATATACCAAATCAAGATTTGGACATAAGTTTCATATGTGTATATATACATACAAATGTTTTGTAGAAGATATCCATAATCTTTTATATATATAACAAAAAGACTTGAGAAAATTGAATATGAAAAAATGCATAGTATTGATGTTGTTGATGGCGGTAGTAATAGCGACCATTGGAGGAGAAGTAGAAGGAGTTTCATGCGAGATCAAGTGCATGCTTAAGTGTGGTGGTCTCTTGGTACCTGAAAACACATGCATCGAGCCATGTATGCGCGCACAATGCCACAAACCACCTAGTCCTCCATCTCAATCATCGTAATAATAATCTCTTCACTTATTACATTCAATTTGATTGTTCTCTTTTTTATTTTGTACATGTGTTTCTGTTTAAATATTAAATTATTATGTTTTTCTGTAAACGATGTTTCTATAAAAAAAAATTTGAAAAATTTAACATAAGTGCAAAATGTTAGTTTCTGTTTAAATGTTAAATTATAATGTTTTCTGTAAAAGATGTTTGTATATATAAAAATTTTTAAAAACTCAACATAAGTGCAAAATGTTAGTTTGTGTTTTGCGTGTATGCAAAAACATTATGATAAGTAAAAATTTTGTTTCAACAAAGAAAAATAATATTTCAATTAGTAAGTACAAATACAAACTTAATTGCTTGTGTTTGAAACAACTATCCACATGAATGTGTTTTTTTTTTGTTATTGCAGGATGGATGCTATAGGAAGGAGAAACATCAAAGAAGTTGAAGGACTTTCATGTATGGACAAATGCATGTTCTTGTGCGGGCTCACCCTGACCCCTCAAAAAACTTGCACTGATCGATGTCTAAAGAAATGTCATAAATCATATGTTTTCCCATCTCAACTATCCTAAGAATAATTTATGTACTTTTTATTGTTGAAATATAAAATTTATTGATCAACAAAGAAAAATATAATTACATGGTTAAAAGTGGAATATTAAAAAACTTAAATAAAACTAAAAATTCAAATCGAAAATGAGATTAAAATTTGTATTAAAATAAATTTTTACCTTTTACATTGAGTTTGATTGTTTTTTCCATTTGTCTTTGCATTTTTGATAATGTTTAAATAATAAACTAATATGTTTGTCTATAGAAAATGTTTCTATCAAACATTTTTGACAACTAATCATAAACGCACAACGTTCGGTTTTGTTTTGTGTTTAAGCCAAAATCAATGATAAATAAAAACTTTATAACTAAAACAAAAACCTAAATTGAGTCTATCGTCTTTTCCAACTAAATCATTGCACCCAACGGTAAGAAACCTTCAACTATGGCCGTGCATGGTCCCGTGGAAGTCACAAACTGAATCCTTATATTAATATTTACAAGAAAAGAAATGAATCTGAATTACTTGATTATCTTGTCTATTAAAAAATAGTTGGTAACAATGATGATTATGAAAACTTGTAAGTAAGTTTGGAGGAAAAAAAAAGGAAAAGAATATGTATAAGAATTAATATTTTATTTTATACTTTATTTGGAATAGTAATATTTATTATCTTAGATGAAAAATGATATTTTTCTTAAGTTAAAGAAAGGCAGAATAAAGATATTTTTCTTAAGTTAAAGAAAGGCAGAATAAAGACTCCATCAATCCATTGAAAAACAAACAATGATGAATGTGTCCGATCTTCCAAGGGATTTGGTGGAGGAGATTCTGTCTCGAACTCCGTTGACATCTACGAGAGCAGTGCGATCTACTTGCAAAAAGTGGAACACTTTATCCAAAGATGGGAGCTTTACAAAGAAGCATCTTGCTCAAGCAGCAGCAACAACAACAAAGGAAGGAGAGTTTCTTGCTATCGTGTTGATAAATTTTAGTCTTTATCTAATGAGCGTCAATCTTAATGGAATCTACACCGACTCTGATTCATCTGTAAAGCCTAGAGGTAAACTAATCAGCCTTAACGATTCAGATCAACTCCATTTCATTCAAGTATATCACTGCGAGGGTTTAGTCTTATGCACGGCAACAGACTACACTAGGCTTGTCGTTTGGAACCCGTATTCGGGGCAAACTCGGTGGATCAGCGTCGAAAGCAGATCTGTTCACCACTTGTTGAGCTGGTACGCTCATGCTCTCGGATACGACCAGAGCAAATCCTACAAAATCTTGAGATTTGCTCATCCTCCAGAAGATAGCTCTGTGCACGAAATCTTCGAGTTAAACTCCAATTCATTTACGGTTCTTGATGTTACTCCAGACTGGCGTGTATGGCAGTCTCACCACGGCTTGTCTTTGAAGGGAAATACTTACTGGTTTGCTACAGATAAAGAATCACGAGGACACGTCCCTGATTTTTTACTCTGTTTTGATTTTACAAAAGAGAGATTTGGACCGCGTCTGCCTCTTCCTTTTGCCTCTTTTCCCGAAGATGCTGTGACTCTATCTTCTCTTAGAGAGGAGCAGCTTGCTGTGTTGTTTCAGATCAATGATACATTTGAGATGGAGATTTGGGTTACGTCAATGATCGAGCCCAATGCGGTGTCGTGGAGCAAGTTCTTTGCTATCGATATGGAACCACTCACTTGTTTTCGTTTTTATGATTGTGGGACTTTCCTCATTGACGAGGAGAAGAGAGCCGTGGTCGTTTTTGATGAAGATAACGATGCAATGCCCCCCACCCGCGACATAGCTTACGTCATTGGAGAAAATGGTTACTTCAGACAAGTGGATCTCGGAGAAATTACAACAAACATAGATGGTCACCCGCTTGCGTGCTCTTATGTCCCAAGTTCAGTTCGAATCGACCAACCTGCATGAGAGAACCAGATTGTTTTCCGATTCCTTTAAAAACATGATTTGTCGATTACTAATTTCTTGTCTCATCTCTTTTTTT